TGAATTTTTCTGCATCACAGTTTAATTCATATTGAATGTATTATGCAATTACTATGGAGAAAAGAGTATGCTCACTGATTTCTTCTAAAGGATTTTTCAAGGTCATATAAAATGCCAGGTGAGAGAAGTGTTGTAACTGTTTTTCTCACTGGATAATGTGCACTTAAAAACTACACTGAGTGTCACCTGTGAAGAGGCACTAGTTAAATGAGAGGCATCCAGAGGGAATTAAACTGGTGAAGAACTCAGAACTCTTAATACATGGAAAAAACTAGAGAAACCACAGTAAAAGAGAACGTTCTGATATTAGGACTGTATTCACAAATTCGAAGGGAAGTAAACTTCTGAGTGATAAAGAAACACATACTTTCTGGTCATTAGAACCTTCCTTAAATGAAATGGACTGCTACATGAAAAGCTCCTAGTCAAGGGAAAGGTCAAAGATGAGGTTGGAAGGTAATCTCTTAAGGATGTGGCAGAGGTGAGGCCTGATAATTCAACTGGATAGTTTCACTTCTGTAACTGGAAACTCACTACCTTTGGTAATTTCCTCAAGATGAGTCACAATATGTAAGTCACAGTACATAAGTAAATGCATTAACCATTGTCATCTTCCTCCCTCTGAAATTTCCATGTATTGGTGACTTAGGTGTGTTTCTGAAAGATTAACTGCTTGCAATCTATATTTCCTTAAAATTCTGGGTGTCGAAGAAAGATCAAGTCCAGATTCTAGTTCTGTCACTTAACTATGCAACTTAGTAAGTCATGATTTTCTTAGACCTCAGAGAAACTCAGACTTGGGGCAGTATTCCCCACCTCTCCCAGTGTTTTTTTAGCGGACGTTGGTGGGTTTGCAGTCACAGGACTGGGTGGCACCGTGGCTCAGCGTGCAGGGGTCAGGGCGCTAAACGCTCCTCAGCACCCAGGGCACCCCCTCCCTCCTCCTCTGAGGAAAGGTGACGAGAAGAGTCACAAGTTGCTTTTACGTGCCAAACTTGGTGAGATTTATCTGTGTGAAGACATTGCAGTTAGCAACAGCTCTATTTACCTAAAACACAATGAAACAGCTTTTCCTCCCCACCCTAAGTAGTTAATAATACAGTTCACAACCAAAACTGACATTTTAGGATCACTAGGTAATATTTAAAAGAGGGTAAGGAAAACAAAAACAAAGGAAAAACTTGTTTTTAATGCTGGATAATCAAGAGACTTGCTTCAGTAAAAGTTCAAATGAGCTGATACTGGTATTCTAGCTACCCAAGACTCCATTAGTGGAGTTAGAGTTAGTTCCTACAGCCTTCGGGGCTTTCCCTTCCTCTACAATAGACGCAAGATATTTAGTTGGTCATTAGGTGCATCTTTATCGGAAGCAAAATATTACTTTTAACAGCTATCGGAAATATTTGCTCTTAAAGGGAAAAGGTTAATGCATGTCTGAACACATAAAAAATTTAACAGACCTTTAACTACTGATGCAAAATATTTAACTGTGATCAGAAAGGTGTGCTGAACAACTTTTGGTTTGTGACTGAAAAGCAAATTTTGGGATGCCTTGAAACCAAGGACCAAAATTAACATCTAGGTTTTAATTACCTGTTTACATTTCCATGCATAGAATGTGTACGCACAGAAAGGCTGTCAGTGATTCCAAAGGATATTGGGTTTCTGCCAACCTAGGTTATTTATTACCTCCTTTAAGACTCAAAAGATACACCTTTTAATCCACATCGCTAGTTCCAGTACTTTATTTACACCAAATGTGTTTTTAATCCCAGTGGTCCCATCAGCACTTATTTTCAGAAACACAGATTCTAACATTTTAATATGTTCTTTCACATAAACAGGGACATTACATAAAAGATCAGTTTGCTGACCATCAGTACTTTGGAACAGGTTTTTCATCCTGAAGAACAGGATTGTAATTTTTTTGTTTGCTTTCATTAGGGCTTTCACTGGAAAATATTCATATGGCTATATTATATAAAATAAATAAGTTTACAGTGTACAAGAAAATGTTTAAACTTGAGACATTTTATGTTTGCAAGCATAAAATCTGCAGGGGGAAGAAAGTGTAAATATGAAATAATTTAATGACCTGTGTAATATTCAAGCATCAATTTTAATAAAGTGTAAAAACGATCCTAGTATGATTCCTTAAAAATAGATAAAAGCCCTCCTTTTTTCACAGCCAGTATCAGCTAGTTCTTATTGCCACTGTATGTCACCTCATGATTTGTTACAAATTACCAATCAATGCTGTAAAATAATATAAATGTCAAAAATATATAGTTTTTATAGAAGGGCAAGAAAAGGGTATGAGACTAAGAGATACAAACTACTATGTATGAAAAATAAGCAACAGGGAAGAACACAGTAGAGGGAAACAGTCAGTATTCTGTAATAACTTTAAATGGAGTATAATCTATGAAAATGTTGAATCACTAAGTGATATACCTAAAACTAATACGGTAAATCAACATAAAATAAAAACTTCAATAATTTTCTTTAAGGATATAGTTTTTAAATGTTGAAGAACAAGAAAATTGGATAAAAAGGAACCAATGCATAACAAATTACGAATTTCCTAAAATTATATTATATGGATAACTTATTAACTTCATGGGGGAAGTGAAGAACTGATTAAAAAAATTATTCTAAATATAATTATTCCAAAGCATCTGATAAAGAACAGAAATATAAAACAGGTTGGTGTTTGAAGGCAATTAAGTGATAAAGTCAAGCTTATGCAGAGGTCAGGCGTATTTTCCACTCTAAAATGTCAAAAGACATAGGTCAACTTAAGGTAAAAAATGGTAAATACTTTAATATAGATTTGGGGAATACAGGAAAGCAAATTCCACAACCATGAAGGCAATAACCTATCACTTGTTGGTGTTTGCATGGTTCAAAGGGTCAGAAAGGGGACAGCTTATATTTTTTTGGCAGATAAAATGCAATCTACCATAGAACTTCAGATTTCAAGGAAAACTCCTTCAAGTAGCAGCTAACGGCTCGCCTCTTTGCTGTCGCTGAGGGTCAGAGACCCACACTGCTTTCTTCCCCTTTCCTGCTCGGCGTCAGTTACACTTGAGCTCTCTGCCCGAAAAGGTCTGGAACAGATTAGAAGTCGGGCCACAAAATAAAAAGCTTTGGCAAGCTGTCAAGCCTGTCTGGAATACACATACAACAGTGGGCCCAAAAAGGGAAACTAAAAGCAGTAAGTATTTTATGAAGCCTTTCCTTGGCATACTTAACTGTGCGCTCTGTGTACATGTGTTGAGGTGGGAGGGAGGCTATTATTTTTTTGGCACTTTTTTCCATTTAAAACAAAAGCCCAAGCTGTGTGTGTAATTAATGGATCTACTTAAGCTCACAGTCAACTTGCTTTACTTCACTTTTTATTAACTGAAAATACTTAAAAACAAAAACCTTTGTTGCAACTGCTGATTTCTATAGCTAGCTAAGAGTTAATCATCATTTTTCATAACCTCATGTAGAGGGGAAAAAAATCCCACAGTACCATTTTTAAAAATTTCCAAATGTGGACAAGCTGAATTCATTTCGTTAAAGATGATTTGGGGAAACATGGCTGTTGTTCTAGCCCATACAAATGGCAACATTTATTAAATTTTCTACCTTACTTGGTTTCCTGTTTCAACCACAAGGGCTTATTCAAGTATTAAATAGAATCTGAAGTTGCAAATTATTAACATGCCACATTACTTTTTTAACACCCAAATAGGTCTTGAAGCTCAAAAGGCTGGCATTTAAGCCAAAGCGGGTATCTGTCAAAGTGACAGTCTCTGCCCTGATCCCATTCTGACTTTACCTGAATAGGGTATCAGTTCCTAACACTGACCAACCGGTGAGCTTGGGGCAGCAAACCCAAACGTCGGGGTTTTTTTTAAAGGTATACATACAGACACAGAACTGTTCGGAACGTTCCTAACAGGGCAGTTATTTTGCCCAGCCCTGGGTAGAGTTCTCTTTCTTCCCTTTTACCCGAGATTGTGTTTTGATGGCATTCAAGGAGTTAATTCCTCTTTCCCGTAAGGGCCCCGCAGTTGTTGTTAGGTCAACCCCTGCAAAGCTTCAAAGGTTCCGAGTTCCCTCAGTCTGACCCACTCAGTGATCTGCACATTGTTTTCATTTAGCTACATCCAGTCCAAGAGGAAAGCTTTAAAACCACAATGATCTGCTCCTTTTTAGATTCATTTTTCCATGGCTTTGGGAAAATATCTCAGAAACCCAACTGAAGAAAAGGAAAACAGTGAAAAAATACGGATATAAAGGCTCCAAAGAGTTTGTATACTATTATCAAGATATGCACATTTGGGAGGGAAGTATTTCTTTGTGCAAATGGTGATTTTTGTCATTTGATTTGAGGGAGAAATATGGCTTTACTTTTTGTTTCCTAAATGAAAAACAAAGAAAAAAAAAAAAACCCTTAAAATATGGGTGTGGGGTTGGGAAGTGAGGGCAGAAATGGAGAGAAAGGGAAATGCTTCCACTGGCCTATCTCTAGGTGACAGGGTCCCTGCCCCAGCTGAGGACAGAAAACATTTTAACACTGAAACACAGGATGAGAGTCACTGCTCTCCTCAAGTTAAGCATAAGCAGACACCAGGTCATTCACCGACAAAAGCTGGTATTTCAGGTTTTAGATGAAGTAACAGCCTGATTATTTCTATAGCTAGAAAGATCATTTCAAACAAGATCACTGTGCTTCTCAAAAATGTGAAAGAAACAGTGAGTCTGGTTAGTAAACCACCACAAAATTCCTCCAATCCCATCCCAAGAAGTCAAAGCTAAAAAGTTGATTTAGATCCAAATTCAAGTTTAAAGTGAAAGGCATAAGCATAATACTAGATAAGTTGGCTAGGCAGTCATTTTTTAAATCTATAAAGCAACGCAATTTAATTTAAATGTACCTTCCAAATTTCACATACCAAAAACCAGTAATCAAAAATATTCAAAAAGATTTTGAGATGAACCTTTACCAAAACGAGGGTCAAGCCTGGGGTCTAGCCAAGAGGTGGTCTTGTTCTTGTGGTTTATATAGTATATTTCTCCATCCTGAGTCATGGCTTGTTCCCATCCATCAGGAAGAGGACCTATAAACAACAGGAAAAAAAATCACGGTTGGTTTTTATTTGGTGCACCCAAAAATAAAAAAAGTGGGAGAGGTGCTAATTTAAAAAGAAAACACATCCTGACATAAAACAACTCATTAAAGTAGACTTAAGATGTGTTCCGGGTAGAAAGGTACACCCGAATACTTGATTCTTCTCCGCCAAGAGAAACTATCCAATAATAAAATCTACATCCCCGGAGACACAGATGTAAACAAACTTCAGATTTTGGGAAAACTCTCTGGAGTCATGACCCAAGCAATTACTAGTGGTGTCAATGTAAGATGCGGAGTGCCGCAGCCCAGGGGCTGCCCCCCATCCAGCCTGCTTCGTGACAGCACCTCCCCAGAGGCCCCAGAGCTCTTCCCCAGGAGTCTGTGCAGGAGTCCTCAGAGCACTGCGGCATTGCAAACACGGCTCAGCATAGAGCAGTTAGCTCAGCCTGCCGACTGCCACTGATTTCCAGTCTGTACGTGACTGACACGCCAAGACACTGTAATAGAGGAAACGGTGGAAAAGAGCTGGTTCTCAAGCTGCCCAGAAGGTGCTAGGAGGTGGGGACGCGGCTGGGAGCTTCAGTCTGTTAGAGATGTGGGAAGGGGGGAGAGCAAGGACCAAGACTGCTGGGAGGCACGTTTCTCAGGAAGAAAAAGGAGGCACAAATGCCGAAACTACAGCGTGAGGAAGCAACACCTGGGAGATAGGGCTAAGAACACAGAAGTTTAGGGTGATGCTAGGCTTCCCTCCTAGCTCATTCAGGAAAGGATCTGCCTGCCATGCAGGAGACCCAGGTTTGATTCCTGGGTCGGGAAGATCCCCTGGAGAAGGGAACAGCTACCTATTACTAGTACTCTGGCCTGGAATTCCATGGACTGTATAGTCCATGGGGCTGCAAAGAGTCGGATGTGACTGAGCGACTTTCACTTTCAGTTTTGGGCTTCCCTGGTAGCTCACTTGGTAAAGAATCTGCCTGCAATGCAGGAGACCATGGTTCAATTCCTGGGTCAGGAAGATCTACTAGAGAAGGGATAGGCTACCAACTCCAGTATTCTTGGGCTTCCCTTGTGGCTCAGCTGGTGAAGAATCCACCTGCAAAGTGGGAGACCTGGGTTTGATCCCTGGGTTGGGAAGATCCCCTGGAGGAGGGAAAGGCTACCCACTCTAGTATTCTTGCCTGGAGAAGTCCATGGACAGAGGAGCCTGGCAGGCTACAGTTCACGCAGTCACAGAGTCGGATACGACTTAGTAACTAAACCACCACCAAGATGATGCTATCCTTACGAGGGTAGCGAGTTGCTTTTGAGAGGGAACAGTGAGGAAATGAGAGGCCTAGCATAAGTGATCAAACCCAGGCACATTTCCTCTTGTCTCCTCCACTTCCCAGCCCCACGAGGATCAGGAGAGGCAAAGGGAAACAGACCAACAGGAACTGACTGCCTACTGTGCGCCAGGCACGGTGCCAGGTACACATGTGCACGGACCCCTCTAATGCAGACGATGACTGAGGACGCAAGCAGCAGGACAATCTCCGTTCTAACGGGAAACTGAGGCAGAGCGGCTCAGCCGTACGTCACAGAGCGAGAGCCAGAGATGATACTCAAACCCAGCAGCCTGATTCCTGAGCCAGTTTCCTCATAACACTTCTTTTCTTTAAATTTTTATCATTTTTAAACTTTTAGAAAAACTTTCCGTGGAGGGTGACTGCTTCACAACGCTGTTGGTTTCGGTCACACAGGAATGAGTCAGCCGCAAGTATACACACGCCCCCTCCCTCCTGAACCTCCCTCTCACTCCCACAACCTCTTATTCATCTTCCACATCCAGGATTAGAGACTAAGTGTGTCTCCTGTGCAAAAATGGAACAGTCCCTTTTTCTAGGCAGTAAGTCCCCTGCACACGAGCCTTCAAGTTGTGAACTTGCAAGACGCAAACGTGCATGCCAACCGTGTTTCCGTTGGCTCAGGTGCCGGCGCACCCTCACACGCGTGCGCCCCCCACATGCGGCTGAGCTTCTGTGAACGTCACTGTACAGGGCGCGGCAGCACAGCATGTTCCACCCAGCATCGTCCGATCGTGCTTTCAAGGAGGACAGAGCTGAACGCAGCAAGGAGCCTGTGCTCCCAGGGCCGGCAGGAGGGAGACCGGCCTGCCCCCTGCCTCCCAACGCTGAGATGCGTCACTCGCCCGTCCTCCACCTCCGCTCCCCCATCAGGAGCCTGCCTGTTCGCCTGACGCCAGTTTATGCCAGCCGTCACAGTCTAGCACCCAGCCGTCACACTCTAGCACCCAGCCCTCATACTCTAGCACCCAGCCGTCACACTCTAGCACCCAGCCGTCACACTCTAGCACCCAGCCGTCACACTCTAGCACCCAGCCGTCACTCTAGCACCCAGCCCTCATACTCTAGCACCCAGCCGTCACACTCTAGCACCCAGCCGTCACACTCTAGTACTGTCACACTCTAGCACCCAGCCGTCACACTCTAGCACCCAGCCGTCACACTCTAGTACTGTCACACTCTAGCACCCAGCCGTCACACTCTAGCACCCAGCCCTCATACTCTAGCACCCAGCCGTCACACTCTAGCACCCAGCCGTCACACTCTAGCACCCAGCCCTCATACTCTAGCACCCAGCCGTCACACTCTAGCACCCAGCCGTCACACTCTAGCACCCAGCCCTCATACTCTAGCACCCAGCCGCCATACTCTAGAACCATACTTTTCAAGGTACTACACTGCAAGATTGGAACTTTCATTTTTTGTGTTTTTTAATGTATTATTTTTGAAAAAATATTATTAACCTATTACAGTACAATACCATATAGCCTAATTGTGTCAGTTGGGTACCTAGGCTAACTCTGTTGAACTTATGAACAAGCTCTTGGAATAGAACTCCTTCATATGCAGGGGACCGACTGTACTGGCAGTCCAAGACAGCCTTGTGAGTGGTACTGGAAGAGGAACTTCGGCTAACAGACCACTCACATGGGCCCATGGGACCAAGGCCCTAATTCTAGGCCAGTGCCATTTGCATCAAGAATAGACTGATTTGCTATTACACTATTATCAAAGATCTTCTTTGATGGGGTCAAAATCATGTTAGGGAATGCAGGCACCTGGCTGGAGTGTTCCAGACTCTTACTACAGAGACCATGGGGGAAGACCCTCCTCCAGTCCTGGGTGTGAAGTTCTGCACACGATGTTATGTCCAGAGCTGGGACTCTGCTGCAGGTATCCTGTGTTTACTAAGAGGTGAGTGGGGAGCAGGCTCGGTAAACATGTAGAAACCAAACCCCTTTTCTCAGCAGCCGTGTCACCTCGGTCTCTGCTCCCGGCTAGGAAGTCAGAAACTTCAGAACTCTTGCTGTTTAGTTGCTCAGTTGTGTCCGACTCTTCTGCGACCCCACAGATTGTAGCCCACCAGGCTCCTCGGTCATGGCATTTCCCAGGCAAGAACGCTGGAGTGGGTTACCATTTTCTTCTCGAGGGGATCTTCCCGACCCAGGTACTGAGTCGGATTTTCTATTACTGAGCCACTAGAGAAGCCCAAGGGTTTGTTACTAACTTTAATTGCAGAAGATGGCTGAATGAGTCTGAAAAACAAGTAATAAAATCCTTAAGTTCTTAAGACACGATGACGAACAAGCCAACAGCGGTCACTGGGTGCATCGCTGGGAGCATCAGCAAAGTGGCCCTGACAGATTCCATCACAGCCTGCAAACCTGCCGAAAGGAATGGATTCCCTGCTTCTTTTCTTAAACACTACATTCTTTGCAGCCCCAAGGACTGAAGCCATATATATAGCTATTTATCCTATAAATAATATTTCTCAAGTATTTTTCATATATAAGTTACTAAGTATAATATTTAGTATTTTACTAAAACCAGTAGACTTCAAAAATTAAATTTAGCAAACATGTCACCAGTTCTTGTCACCATTCTTTTTCTTACTTGGTTAAGAAAAAGAGTTGGAAATTATTGACGGCTGAATCCTCACAGATGGACTGAAGCAGATCAGAGAGGGTGAGTGGCGTCACACATTCTATTATAAACAGAATATGTGAATGATTTGATATTAATCTAGTGCTTTTTGTTCCTTAAGTGTTTTCATTTTTACGGCTCACTTGACATCCTAAGAAGTGTTTAAAATTTGTAGAACAGTAAAATGGAAAAGTGAAAGTTTCTTGTAGTCTATTCTCCAGGAGAAAAAACGAACTTTCGTTTTGTGATAGATTCTGGATTATCTTTCCTGTGCACATTTTGTAATACACATGCATAACTACTGATGTCATGCTATACCTGAACCATACTTGCTTTTATTCACTTAATATCTATTATGGACAGCTTTTCTTAACACAACACATAAGTCTCTCTCATTCTTTTTAATGGTTTCACAGATCTTACTACACAGATATATTAGAATTCATTTATCCCAGTGTTACATATCAGAGTTGTTTCCACGTTTTGTCCTGAATTTGTTACAAACTGTGCAATGCACTGCCCCCCTGCAGTGACGGCACCAGCTCTCTCACTATCACTGCACACCCTGTGCTTAACCCCATCACAGTGATCAAACACTGACGTTCAGGCAGATCACCTGCCCAAGGCAGACCGCAGAGCAAACTTTCCCAAGGTAAAGATTTGAACCCAGGCAATCTGACATGAGAGACCCTGTTTAAAATCATACAGTGTGCTGCTGTCCAAAGACATATATATGTCCCCAAAACTTATGCAGGTGTTTCCATACATTAACTCTGCAGAGCAAAATAATGACTTTATTCATTCACACTAAGTTTAAATCATTAGCTATTTAGCCTATATAAATCATATTTCTCAAGTATTTTTCATATATGTCATTAAGTATAATATTGAGGATTTCACTAAAAACAGTAGACTTCAAAAATTAAATTTAGCAAACTTGCCACCAGTTCTGTTCTTGTATAAACAATCAAAAACAAACCTCTATACAGCTGAGGTTGGC